GCAGAAAAACAGAGAAAACTGAACGGAACAGCACGATTTCCAGAAGTATATTTGATAATAATCTTGCAGGATAAATTTATTCCTTCATGAAGGATTATATCATCATTAGCAAATCGATAAACAAGTTATCAAGTTCATTCCTTACTATTAACAATGAACAACCATCAAATTCAAGCACCACTATTAATTCATCTTTATTTAATAGCTTGATAACACAGTGTTATTCATTTTTCCCACAACAGAACTATGTATTTTAATGAACGGACCTAACGATACTGATAAGAGCGAAACTCTAAATGAATTTTCTCTCACAGCTAATCTTACATTAATTCTCTACTGAAAGATGAAAACTTAAGCTTAAAAATTCTGAAATATTAAAAAAATATTCCGGTCCGTAACTCTATGAACTGGATAGGTATACTGCAATCCAACCAGTAAAATGATAACAGTAAAGTCTCAGTCCAGGAAATCTTTTATCCTTCCAATTTCCTATTTCATTAGAGTTCCAACTCTGGCTTAAAAGACAGTGATCTATTATTAAAACTGGAAAATGGTTGATCACTGTGAAATTTGGCTCCCTGGAACATGGAGTCTTATCACAGTAACCATGTTCTGGAAGATGACCAATCATAATTACCAAGTTCATTTTCGAAGTGTAGAAAGCAAAACCGAGCTTCTCCTCTACGGAAGTTCCTAGTGTTTGTCTCGAATTGATTACTTTTATTTTTTCGAAGTAAAAATAGCAATATCCTGAATATTATCTCAAAAAAGCTTTTTCACTCATTTGGTTTCGTAAGTAAGTGAACAGTTACAAAGTTAAAAAGGCATAGCAATTTTAAGGTGACCTAAATGTTGACAAACAATGACAATAGCAAAAATATGCTTAGAAAGTCGAAATGTGAGCAAAATTATAGAAAGCACAGAAAAGAAGGTTGGTAAGAATTACCTGTTGTGCCACAGGCTCCAGAATGCCTTCAATAGTTTTAGTATGAAATACCGGCATGGTCACTACAGCGATGAAGCGTATCGTATAAAGTGGAATTGGTAAGATTTACAACACCAGCTCTATTGGTCTATCAGCTTTCAGGAGTAGAAACAGTAGCTCAGGTGGGACTGATCGTGTACTGATGATCAACCGATCAGGGGTCAAGGACCCATGGTTCTCTCTCTCTCTCCTCCTCTTTCTTGTAACAAACTACTCGAGATCTCTCCACCGATGATCACCACCGGAGGTTAGATGAATGAATGGATAGATGGATTGATGGCTGGTCGGTTGTTGGGACTCAGTAGGCAGTCGTCGACAACTCTCTCATCGCACCAAACCTTTTGTTGCCTGTACTCTTTCCATCTCTCTCTCTTCCTTTCCCATTTTACCTTTGTTCTAACATATTATGGAGCAGATGCGATGCCGACTCTTGCAACTTCCAGATACCCTTTCTCCTCCTTCCACCCACCTTTCTTCTGCTTCACAACTCGATGTATTCCCGACCCGACCGACCGACCTGCAGTCATCATCACGACCTTAATCATTCATCACTTGCGGTTGTTATTTCTGCGCAGCAGCAAGAAAAGCAGCAACAGAAGCAACGGGTAGTAAGTAGTAGTAGAGAGAGAAGGAAGCGTTTTAAGCAGATCCATCTCTTCATTTTAATAATGGTTTTAGTAGCGGGTCATCTCGAAGTGGTCGTTTCCATTTGACAAAAGACCAGTTCTTTCAGGATAGGACAATTGGCTTTAACTCCTGCTACGCTGGAAAGAATTGCTTAATTTCATCTGTGTGGTTCGTTTGTGCTGCCAATGCTCATTACTGATGAAAAATGATGTTACATGTGGTGAGAACCTCTTGATTTGCTTGTTGTTTCAAAATCTTCCGACCTCATATTCTTGATTCCTGATGGTCAGTAGCCAGTCTGTAATATTCTGCACAGTCAGGACTTCCCTGCCTTCAGATTTATCAAATTCACAACAATTAGTCCTTCGCAGTCACTTTCTCTTAACGAGTGTGAACAATATGGCGTGTTGATATTACATGTGTATCGACTGGCTACTTCATTCCATTCTCCATTTCGTTATGTTCCAAGCTGGATGATTTAAATTCCTCAAAAGTTTTAGACCTAAAGCTGTATTTCCTTCCTTCGCTGCCGTTTATGCGATAATTTTCAACTAAGTCCGCGTGGATCCAAAAATTTGCTTTTTCCTACTACGTTGTTGTACAACCTTAACCTAATCTGTTGAAAAACTGGACACAACATCAGTATGAACAAGTGTTCCTACTGGTGTTACTTTCAGAAATTCCCTTCATTTTAAGAGTAAATGCTATTACTGATAAAAAGAATAGATTGCCAACTCATCGACGTAATTCATGAAAGTTAAATTTAAGAACCTAATTTTCACATATTTGTCATATTTTTTTTCACATATCTCTTTGTCGTTACTTTCGCAGTGCTACAGTGTGTATTGCAGAGCGCTTACAATTTTGTACGCTAAGAATTAACTGGATAACAGTTCGAACTGTTTTGCCTGTTAAACATGTGTGTGTGTGTGTGTCAGCTTGGGAGAATTATTCCGAAAGTGTGAAGAACTACTCTTTGGAATAACTAAGTTTAGTTCTAAAATGCGTTAAAAGTATCGGGAACAGTGATAAGGAACGATGTTTCTAATTCAGTAGTTACAAGTTGTAATTGTAAGAATGAATAAGCAGCAGCATCAAAGATTTGAAACACCAACTATACTTGCACTGAAGAAACCTTTGCGATGTAGAAAGATTTGAGAAATTAGTGAATCAGCTATCTTGCTCCATGTATAATAATACATGGAGCAAGAATAGGTTGATGAAAAAAATTTGATTCTCTTTATCAAACGTGATAAGTTACGTGCTTAAGGAAAAATGGAAAATCCTTCAACAAAACTAGGGCAAATTTTACACTTTGACGACGAAATTGAAGTAACTAAGTAATACTTGTTTGACACTGGGATTCCAGTACAAACTTCCTTAAGCTTGAGTTTTGCATTTACACATACCTATAAGGTGTCATCGGAGTAGCTAACACTAAAACCTAGGAAACTTAATTGTAACTAAATGTGTTGGTTTTGGTAGAAATGCGTAATGAAAATTAGATCGCAGTATCACTACTTGGATAAAAAGGAAAAAAAAATGTTTTTTTGGAAGGCTCAAATTGTGGTTTGCATACGACTAAAAGATTCAAACTATTTAGAATAATAAAAACGATAGCGTTTTAGTTCAAGAAGGATCGAAACCGTTATTATCGTGTAAAGTTGAATCACCATGTTAGAATTGTGAAATTGTCATGCAACATGTTCTTGGTGTAAGAAAACCATGCCTAATTACGAACTATGTTGATCAAGTGTCGGTAAAGAATGCCCATTTTGGAAGTTAATTTAAAAAAGCGGGAAGATATGCAGTATCGCAAATACAAGTCAACATATTTTGGTCCAACAGCAGATAGTGGAACAACAATTTTAGCCGTGTTAAAGTCTTGTGGGTCAAACAGTTACTGTTGAAACCTATATTATAATATTATGCCATAACGAGGAATTGAGTTTTTTGTTCTATGTAGTAGTTGTTTCCTTTAACAAGATAAATTTTGTACCAGAAATTTCGTTCTTTTACTTTCCACTTCAGGTCAGGTAACGTTTCTCTTTATCTTAAAACATAGATGGCCGAACAACAATCAAGAACAGATAATTATTTGCTTTTGAACAATTTTCGTTCAAAGATGAAGCGATTGCAAATGGCTGGAAGCAAATACGATAACATACAAACTATCTGCACTAGTAATATTTGTTCCTCCTCTATTTTTAAACAATTCATGTTTTGGGTTCAAAAACCGGTTAATTCTATGATGCAGTTCAAAAATACATGAAAACACATCCTTCATAATTTCTTGAAGTACTGAAATTCGCTATTATTAGCAAATTGAGGTTTCAGCTGTGATCGTTACAAGATCCCGTGCATGATTTTTGAATGCTGAAAAAAATGACTTCACAGAATAATGTTTGCTTTCTATATCACCTCATCTGTCGTTGAAAACAAAAAAAAAAGATAATTCACCATTTAAAATATGCTGGAATGTATCAAACGTCACGACCGATACCGTCGATGATGAAAATTCCAAAAAAAACAAATTGTAGATGATACATTATTTGAAGAAGTTAGCAAAGTTAAATGGATTCCATGTATGATATTAGAAGCGGACAGATAGATTGTTTTTGGAATACGCGCAAGTATAGATGGATTCCCTTCAAAAATATTCTTTGGAAGATGGACCAGTTTTGTTCAAGCTGGCTTGTGTATGATTTTCTCCAAGCATAAATGGAAAATAATTGCAATGAAGCGTGAGGATTTTGTGATTATACTCCGTTCACTGCAACACGGTTGGAGTTTTAACTCTGATAACATTCACACACTGAAATCAGGAAGAAGGATAACCGTGGGGGAGTTACCACTCTTCCTGATTTCGTGTAATTCTGTACTAAACTGGACAAAAACGTCTATACAAGCATCAACAACTCTACGATAATAAAATCAAATCTACACAACCTATCACACTCTGGAACTTTTGCTATTTTCATTTCGCGACCACCTTTTGAGGCGAAGATCTACGGTTTGGGGAATTGATAATGGCTTTATTTCAGGGATTTCTGGGTATTGAGGTTACGTGGTTCTGTTAGCGCATTGGGATATCCAGTTCTTCCCCGTCATTATTTATATAATAGTTTGGCATCTAAGCATTTTATCAATGAATAATTTTTAACTGATATGCTTTTAACAGAGGACAATTAAACTTAATTTCTTGCTTTTTCTGACTCATAGGCGGACATTTATCATTATCGCAATTTTCCATCCATTTTAGTGTTTATTCATTATTTCGAGAAATAGTATTTTATAGAATACAATGTTGAATAACCTGTTTTATAGCAAGGGAACACCTTAAGATACGTTATTATGTTATGTATTTTCGCTTTAAAAAAGAATGAAAATGCCTCCAGATAAAATAAAATGTTTGGTCGAAAACTTCTGTAAGCGGTTGTTTAAATCGAATTTGGTAGAAGAAATTTCTTGTGATCCGAATATGCCTTTGTATGGTATGCGATTGGTATGTTCTAGACATATTTCACGTCGGAATTTGTCCAGTTTGCCAGAGACTTTCAAGGCTTTTAAATTTATCAGTCGTGTAATCTCATATATTGATGATGTGACGGGTGCTACAGAAATTCGTGAAGCTCATGCAACATTGAAACAGGTCATTTTTTTAAGAATATTTTTCGAGAATCCAACATTTCTGTAGTACATTTTATGATAAAAATGAGCATGAACATATTTGGAGTACTATTCTGATGAAACTCCTTTCTGATTGCCTTGTGATTGTTCGTGGGTGCTAAGTAACGATTTAGACTGTCAACTGCTGCTTAATGTTAGAAGCTCAATGAGAGGTATTTTCGTCCAATACTTTCCACCTACTTATTATTTTCTCAGACAAATCCGGAAGAAACTGTCCTCTATTAATAAATTAAGATGACTCGACAGAATGTAATCTGATGGTGATGAAATAATTTAATGGTTAACTTCGTGAAAGGATTGCTGTAAGACGAACTCACTTTGCATTTAGCTCACCGACGGCCACCGAAAGATATAATGATTTAAATAGTCGAGCAGTCCTTTGTGCATGGAGGATTAGATTCGAAGAATTTGCATAAAAGGGAATTCATGTAATGTAAAATTCTTATTGGAATTGTGCTCAGAACATTATCGTTGATGAATGCTGTCGACAACACTGACACTATTTCAGAACGAAAAAAAACTGCAAGATGCTCAGGCTTTACGACGTAAAAAACGTGATGAGTTAGATGCTTTACAAATTCGGATGAAAGAGATACACAGTGAACTGGATAGATTTTCTCGTGGAGATGACAAGTATGTCTGGCTCTTGGCTGTTTTTTTATCATTTTTTGAATGTATTCCTAAAATTGGTATTAGACTTCTACATACTTCCTGGATATCATATAGCATAATAATGAGTGGAAGTTTGTTTTTTTACTTTTTTTTAAATCACTAGTTCTTTGAAAAAATTTTAGCTGAATTTTGTCTGACGTAATAGATTTGGTTGAAACACATACTTTTCAGCTAATGATATCTAGAAACTAGATTTTTATGATCAGTGTACCGCTCTGTGTCGAAATAGCTTTATTAGTTCATTTTAAGGCCCTTAAAAAAACAAATATCACTGGGCTTTTTTAGCATATGTGAATTTGTCAACATTTGCAGGTATTTACGTTTGTTAACTGAAGAACATGCAATCATAAAAAGTGAGCAACTTTTAATTGCTGACGTGAGAAAGGCGGATGAAGCCGAAAAAGCTGCATTTGATGAATTGTCAAGCACTCTTCGGACTAGTCGCGCAAACGAACAGGAACAGTGAGTTTGAACCTTTTTGATGAAAGAAGGAAGTGATGTTCTTAAGGATACTGGTTTTTTAATTCAAGTTACTTTGATTGAATGATTGTAGCTACCAAGTCACATTAACAGTATACTATAATTAAAATTATTTCTCGTGGTCTTTTTGTCTACCGATTTTAATGAAATAATTTAGATTGAGGACGGTTTATTTCCGGAAGCGGTATATTTCAGATCGGATCGAGTAAAAACGTGGACAGTTATAGGTTCCACATGCGGTGCTTTATTTGGAATTATTGGCGCTTGGGTGGCAAATGAAGTTAGGATGCGTAAAATGAAAGAGCTTATACCAGACTCTGCGTTGTTGACACCATTGATAAAAAAGATGACGGCATTATTTGAGAAACAGCAAAATGAGGTATGAAACTATAGTTTCTCATTACAGATTAAAAACAAAAGTATAAAATTCTGCGACTTGTATCCATGTTGATAGTAGAAAAATGTTATGGTCTTGAAGTCCGGAGCCTCATTTTGCAAATTCTTTCATTGTTTCATACTCCTGAGTTTCACATCTTTAACAATAGATAAGGCATTGAATAGCAAAGTGGCCATCCAAAAGATAGACTGCATACAGGTCATTTGAGCTCTTTGATATTCGAGTGTTTCTTAATTAATTCTCTTTTGCAACATATCATTTTGCTGGATTGCCTTTGATTATATGACCTAGTCATCCTTAAATCTTACTGGTAATGCTTAGGGATGTTTTGCACTGTGCCACTATGTCACTATGATATCACAATATTAAGATGCTGAAATAATATTGTCAAAATGACTGGTTACATATTCCAGGCAATAAACATTGCAGGTGGCTGCATTTATCACGGACATTAGAGAAGCAATGCACTTGAAAGCTCCCGAAGGGATAGCAATTACTACCCAAAACAAAGGCGTGACTGATAACGTACTGTCCGATACGATTGTCAACCTTCTACAGGAGCAGAATAAAGTTTTAAGAAAGGAACTTGATGCAGTAAAACGCTTGATTGCAATAGAGCTGAATTTGAAAGCGGAAACACCAAATGTAGTCTACATTGGCAATGATATGGAGGAACTCCTTAGTAAATCAGAGAAAAATATTGAATCCAAAATGAAATTGCAGACGCTTGTCGAAGTGGTTTTTCTATATACTCTTGTAGTCGTCTCCTTACCATTAATCTATGCCTTCATTAAAGGACCTTAGACATTAGCATACGATTCCCGGTGGCAGCACTGCTCTCGTTTTAAAACATAACATCAGACACGTTATTCGCCTTTACGGGTATTTAAATTAGTTATGTCAAACAGAATTGGTTTCTTTATTTTGTTTAGTATATATAGCTCGAATGTATACGTACATTCGAGCTCCTAGAATGCTTAAAAATGACTTTGTATTCGCTGCATCATGTTGTATGTAAGTTGCAAATAAAACTGCCCGCAGCTTATCTTAAGGGTAGGTATGATTTTAAACAGGGAAGTTTCCAGCGTTGTGCACCAGTGCCATATGAATCATTCCAAGGAATTTTAAGTTCTTGCCATATCGAGATACATACTATTCGTGGAAGTCTGTATCATGATAATTTTGCGCTGTGATGCTGCAATCAATTTCTTCATTTACAAGTTGTCACAAGGATGCAGTTACAAAATGTGGTAAATGGAGGCATACAAACCATTTATTCTTTGCAAAGAAAGATCATTTGACAAAATGAGTAGGAATAAGTACTTCCCAATGAACCACAATTAGTAGTCATCACCACGACTAACCACTTCTTTGCAAGTTGGTCGCAACAAAATTGTATGTTCCCACTGGGCAGTGTAACAACCTTTAATATCACACAACGGAGGGTAAGCTTGTACGATACCTTTGTCACACAAATCCTTCAGTGCCATCAAATATTTCGTCTCTCCTAAACGATCTAACCACCTTCGACAGAAAGCCAACGTCCGGAAATTTTTGTTGATGACATTCAATAAATTTTTCGATCGAGCTAATCTACAATTTTCAAGAGAAAACATGGACTACGGGTTCCATCAGGAAGACTAGTTTTTCTAGCATAAAAAAACTTTTCATTTCCTTCCCTTTTTTGCCACAACTTCCGCTATATGAGAAATTTCGAAACAGAGAAAAACACCTATTTCGTATATCAGATAGCTTTGTTATGCAACGAAATTCACGTAAAATGTCGTACTTTAACGCGTATTACTCTCACGTCCAGTGATAATGAATAAAGAGTCACCATCCAGGTCACTACGATGGGAATAATGCTTGCAGCCAAGCACTTCATAACAACTAAGAGTAATGTTTTGCACGCTTTCGGAAATGCCTTCATTCCTTTGGATTTCTTTCTTTGGCCATTGAGTATTGAAATCATACTAATAACAGATGGCAAACCTTAGCGGAATATGCTCAGAATGAAGGTCGTAATCTTTCATGTAATGACTGCACTCCATATCATCGTGAACATAGCCTTTACCAGTACTACCGAATGTTTCAATAGCATAGAATTCGTTTTCCTCCATTTTTGTTTGTTCGCCTCCCTATAATAATACTTTACATGTATGTAGGAAACATCATCATTTTTCAAAAACTACTTCAGCGACAGATTATACTTCAAAGCAGTAAAAAAGCTAAGCTATGTTACAACTGATTTGTTGGAACTCACCTTTACTATTGGGACAGTTTTCCCAGCGTGAATGCGATACGGTCCTATTGAATGTCCGTTCAAATTTCTGATGGGCTTCACAACATAAGTTCTGCCATCCAGTTCGACCTAACTCACTTGTAACTTCAAGTATGCGGTCAAAGACTTTTCAAATATGCAGTCAAAGACAGCGACAGATTATCAAAGTAGTAAAAAAAGCTAATCCATATTACAGCTGATTTATGGGAACTCATCTTTAGAAAGTTCTCTAAACATTTACGAAACATCTAACAGAAGTTCCTGTTTATCAGGTAGCGTAATTATAAAATTAGTACAACCAGTAAGAAGTTACCTCATGACTACTCATAACCTCTTCAATTGTCTCGCCGATATCGCACAGACGAACATCAATACCTGCTTCTCGAATCCCCGCATTAGTAGCTTCATGTACTGCATTGACTAAATCATCGTATTTCGGATCGAAATGGAGTGTGAATGCACAATCGATAAGACGTCCATTGACATGAACACCAAAATCAATTTTGCAAACATCACCTTCCTGTAACAAATAGATCATAATTTATCCATTATTCAAATCGAAATGAAGAAAATTGAAAAGACAAACTTGCAAAACTGTAGTGTCGCCAGCGTTTGGAGTGTAATGCGCAGCACAGTTGTTTATTGAACAGCCGGTTGGGAAAGCAAGTCCAGCTTTCAGTCCATTCTCATTGATCATTCGACGTGAATGCGCTTCAAGACGCTCACTAAATTTTGAACTTTATTGAAAAAAATGTAAACAGAAATAGATTAAATAAAGCCAAATTGGTTAATATGGAATACTGTATAATATTGTGGCATTTCCTACATAAGTACATCAGGTATAAATAGTGTCATTAAGGAAAGTTGGTATTGTAAAAATTAGACAAAAGCCAGACTGAAACTACCAGATTTCAATCATTGTCATCCCTGGCTTAATCCAGGATCGTGCATATTTCCGTGTCTGCCTATGTGCCTCCGCAGCGCGACGAAAGTCATTATATGTCTCCTCATATGATGCATCCAAATTCTGCAAATATATTTTTTATCTGAAATGAATATCAGATGCATTTGTGAAATAGAGTCCTTTGTATACCTTTTTTTCCTCATTAGTCATCCGATTAACGGCAGTACGGTCATCAGCCTTAGCAATGTATTCACATATTTCTCCAACAGGAAAATTTCCATCGGGAAATTGCTCGTCAACTGGAATTAAATCTTTCACTTCTTCTTCAAACTGTTCCGAAAGTGATTTCGTCTGTGCAGGCGGCGGTTTATCATTTGTTCCCTGTCCTATAAAACAAATATATGTAGACGACTTTTAATTCAAATTCCCACATATCACTAGCTGCTGATCTGCATATATCTGAGAGAGCCTTTGGCTTGGTGTACCTTCATTTTTTCGATTTTGGAATCCAAGGTAAAATCAATAATCATAAGTATATTTTCTTCAATCTAGGTCTGCGGAATTAGTTATGTACCCTTTCCAGTTTTTTTTGTTGATTTTGCTGCGGCTGCAATTGCCTTCTTACGAGTCTCTAGCTCGACTTCCATCAATATCGCGTCTAAATCATCGAGACCACTGGTTTCTATAAATAATTAGTAAACTTGTGTTATCCTGACAAGCACGGGTGACCTGACTATCTCTTCGAGGCTTCAGTTGTACGAAATAGTCAAGGATGGTCATACGCTGGAAACTTAATGTTAAGTCACTAAGACCAGCAATCTAGACTTTGAACAATCTAGGTAACTGGAGAAATAAGCAAAACAGTTTAACGGTTGATATTTTAAGACTTTTCGTGAGAAAGAGGCGTTGTATCATCATATTGAGGGAGGGGAAGGGAGGTGGGGACATGGCATAGTGCTCTGAGAAGACTGGACAGGTCTGCATTATTGAAAAAAAAATCAAATAAAAACTTGATCATAAAGATGTTATCATTTAATTGTTATCATTTAATAAGTGTCAAATTCCTCCAAACAAACCTTTGTTTCTAGGATTTCTCTTCTTCTGAGCATTCATTGAAATATTATGTTCAAATTTGTTGAACTGAAACACATCAACTTTTATAAAACATCGAAACTACAGCAACAAACGAATACGCATCTCTTTCTATTAATTTCACACGAAAAATAAGAAATGAAAATGTCTGGATAATTTGTTTGCTTGCAGGAAAAGCAAAAAAACTGTTCAAGACATCCCACGTAAATAGTAAAAACATTCCTACTTGCCAGCACGGACAGCCAAGTCATACCAACAAGTCCACAGAACACTTCTCATTACCTGTTGACCCTGGATCACCCTGTACCGTCATAACCAAAACCTTACCAGAGACGTTGTCTTTCATTCCTCTACAGGATAATCCCTTGTGAATCATGGTGTCTGACGTAGAACGCTATTAGCGGAGGTTAGTGGTTGAAATATTTTAGAATTGTCATTAATGGTACACCTCCCAGTACCCAATCAAATAGTGATCGAAGGCGTGCTAAATCTGCCGCTCCCCACCTTTATTTTCTTATTAGTGCGGAGTTAGTCTCACATTTTTGCTTTAATTATTCACTAATTTAAAATCCCAAACCCTCTATGAAACATCAAATCGGTTATTTCATCGTCTTTTCGCTAGCTCTCCGTCTGTAGCCGTAAAAAATAAGCGTATGACAGGGCAAAATAATCGAACTATCCAGTGATATATTTCTTACGCTGCTCATAAGACAATGAAAGAAAACAGTTAAAGCATTCGGCATGCCTGGAAAAAGGATTCCGGATCACCCGCCACTGACTTCAATGGGGGAGTTGCTATTAGCACACTTCCTCCAACAAATCAACCTGCAGAAAATGGATCGCAATGAAAGGTGATGTATTTCATAAGACTTTCGTGATGGTAGTACAAGGCGACCGAGAAAAATTTGGTTTGACATCAACAAGCAAGGAAAAGTCTGAGGGCTCATTGATATGGCATGCTCGTACTGGAGTTTCTTTTAAAGAGCGGAGGGGTCGGTTGACTGTTTCTTGTATTTCAGGAGTTTAATTTGAAATTTTGGAGGTGTGATTTCCTTTCTTTTCCCTCGCATCGATCTTGCATCCGTGCCATCAATGATGAAATACACTACATTACACGTAGCTGATGAACCCTAGATAGTTTCCCAGTTAGCTTTGATGGCCTCTAAATGACCTGAATTTAGAGCAGATAAATAAAGATAAAGGAGAACACTCGGTCAACTTGTACGTCCCAGCTTAGGTTTCGATGCGCAACTTATGAGATCCTAAATTATATTCACAAGCTGAAGCTTTCAGCGAAGTCCTCCGGCGGTAATTTCTAAATGGTTTATGGGACGGTAGAAATCATGCTTATCCGCCTTCTTAAAGACAGATACTTCAATTCTTTCGGACAAAGAATACTTTACTGATCGCATCTCCCTTATTCTGAATTTCGATAGCTCTCGGCAAGGCTGCAAAGTAATCCATCGATAGCAAAACCCATTCATTCAATGGGTCATGATTCACAATCCTATCGTGTAAAAAGTTAATGTAAAACTACAAACTTCCAATCTTTTTTGCAGAATCCATAAAATCAGCATAAATAAGAATTCGAAAAGACGTAATCCGTCCTTCCATGAAGGTAGGGAACACATATGAAAGAATTACAGCTGCAAGATATTCACGGAAACGGGCGATGAGATTTACGCAACTACGCTCCATCATTTAACCACGCATAGTAAATATATGGATAAACGTGCCTCGTACATATTCGACGTTGTAAAATGTTACTCAAAAAACATAATAAAGGAAAATTACTCATCTATTTGACACACTAAGAAATGAATATCAGATATCAGCTGCAAATATGCAACTATACACGAACAAATACATATCACTTTGATTGTGACTTTCATGACCGCTTAGCTTTTTATAACAGAATATTCACATAACAGCAAAGTTACAAAATATGTTATAGGATAGGAGTGGAAGACAAAAATATGACTTTATAAAAAGTATATAAAATATAAATTAACCCAGAAGTCAAAAAATGAAAAAGAACGCCTCATTATACTTTTCCCATTCCCCGAATTTGAACATCAAATGCAATCAGTTACCAAACCAAACGGAATGGAACAGTCGCATATGTGTCGCATATACAGATTTTAACAGCTATTGACTAAACTAGAACTAGATTTTTAAAGAAAAAATTCGGTGGAAAGTTGAAACAGCTGCCAGATGAAAGCATATTTCTACAAAAACATTTAAACTGTAACGTTAAAGTGAATAAGAACAGTCTAAAATCATTCATTGTCTATTCTATCATTTTCTTTTCAACCTAATCAAGGAAATATTCAATACATTTTGAAGCATCCGATGGACAGCTGTACATAAAGTAAGCAAAAGTAATAGGCGTTTAGGAGCCATTCTTACTGGGGACAGAACGCGTTGAAAGAAAAAAAAGATTACAACTACGTACACTCCAAACTGAGATTTGAAAATAATCGTCTACAGAAAAATGTGTAATCTTTGATCAGTATACAGTCGCATGTGTTACCTAATCACAGACTATTATCGATATAAAATCCTGCACTACGCTTTCCACTGTTCAAAAAATATTACTTCCATAGCAGTTGCTGATTCTAATCTGATTCCATGCATGTAAATATTTGCCACGACAATTCTGGTTGGTTGATAAGTTTAGAAACCTTCATCCCAGCCAGAAAACTCATCAGGTGGTACATCTTGTTCCGGTGGATAGCTATCAAAGTTCGTTACATCCGATGGATTAGCCACCTTTGGCACAATTGGTGCTTTCAAAGTTCTTGACCTCAGGCCTTCCCAGTCGAAACCCATAAACCACCTAAAAAATATCCTGTTAGAAATTATGCTTTTTTTTCAAATCTGAAACACATCTTTAAATTCTTTAATGAGGAATTATGCTTGCTTGAAGAAGTCAAGCAACCATGTCATACTGACACTCAAACAAGAGAAAAGTTCCTTCATTGTCTATTTATTTCCATAATTTGATTGAAATGAAAAAGTAAACGACACACCTATGTTTACGAATATCACCAACACCTCCACTACCACATCCAAGTCGTTCACCGGGATTGTCTTTGCAGAGTTTCTTAACAAGAGCAGTTGCCGTTTTCCCAATTCGCCGATTTGGGATTTCTAAGGCATCCACGCCTTTCAATATTAGTGTGTAAGTTTTCATCGGATCTGCGGCCTAAGAAAATTAACAGTAAATAAATTACACCAAACTTGATCATCTTTTCCCATATTTCAAAATTCAATAGATAACTTTTCTTGAAAGTTTTCATCATTTCATTTCTTCTGCATAAATTTCGAAATTTCATTCTTCTAACAATAAGTTGTACCTGAAATGGTGGACGACCGAGCATTAATTCACAAATATAAATTCCTAATGCCCAGTAATCAGCTGCCTGATCATGTCCCTTGTTAAGGATAATTTCAGGTGAAACATATTCCGGTGTGCCACAGAAAGTCCATGTCTTGCGTCCACTTGCTAACTTTTTTGCAAAACCAAAGTCGACCTGTAAAATCAACTATAAAAAATCGAAATGGAACAAAAATGTCCTTCACAATAGATGGGCACTTACAAGTTTGAGGTATCCTGTTTGCGTGAGTAAGCAGTTTTCTGGCTTTAAATCACGGTAAACAATGTTTTTTCTATGTAGATATTCAAGCGCTTCCAAAACACAAGCGACATAAAATCGAGCTGTATAGTCATCGAAATGCCCTCTGTCACGAAGCGTAGTCCATAACTCACCACCCAAACAAACTTCCATCAGCATATAAACATATTTGGCGTCACGGAACGTTGTATACAACCTAAAAATAATGAAGTAATGATTTCAGTAAAAGTGGAATAGATGAGAGCTACCTGATTTAAGTAATGATAAAACATAAAAAATTACATAAAAATTTTAAAATAAGCTGAATAACAAAATAAAACCGCATATCTTTCGAATTACCTAACAATCCAGTCTGAACGAGTTTCCATCATAATATTTCTCTCGGCAAAAATATGCTCTTGTTGCCTTGTATCTACAATATGCTTCTTTTTCAAAGCTTTCAATGCAAATGTCCGCATTTTGTCACCATTGATGCAAACCTGAATCATCTTTTTTAGATGATACCAATTAAATTATCACGGAAACAACCTAAACATCTCAAGATGTAGAAATTACGACTCTTCAGCAGTATCAAAACATAACAAATCCTATTCTCTAAGCATTAAACAAGTTGGAAAGATACTGCCACAAGCAATATAGCGTTTACTAAACGGCTAGGAAAGGGAACCCAAACTACGAACAAATAAAGGCAAAACGGCCAGTATCGTTTTTTCAAATAATAATATGCAAACATATAGTGATAACAGTTTTTATTTCTGAATGAAGTAACAACTTACAACTCTATACTACAACTACTTGAAGCTAAAATAATAAAGATGTCAAGAAATTTTGCTATCCAAAACACGAACCAATTCAACACGACCAAAACCACCAACACCAAGTGTGACAATCCTTTTCAAATTTCTTAACTGCAAATCAACAAATTCCTTCTCCTGAGCAGTCTTTTTTGGCGATGGTGGCTCAGGTACAACACTGAAATAAAATGTTTCTGTAACGTCCCAATTCATATAGTACTTCCCACTCAGGTAAAAAATGTAAAAATTTGTGAACACCAAGAAAAACGATTACTTACATAGTGGTCCTCCTTTGCAAATCTCCGTAATCTCGATTTAAGGCTTCAAGATCTCCAATTAGTTTTGTAAATGACTCTCTGTCAAGTGTCAGAACTTCGACACCTGGATTAACTGCGATGATACTGGCTGTCCTCACCTGGAAAAAATTGTGTGGAATAAAGAATGCAGCAAAAGTAGATAATATTAAAATAATGCATACAAACACACCTCTTCCCCAAGAAGAGCTTTTTCACCAAAGAAGTCTCCTTGCTTTAAAATACGTATCTCTCGAGGCTCAGGCTCATTTTCAATCTGCTGTGTAACACGAACCTGACCACTTGTAAGGATGAAGAATGTGTCACCCTTAAATAAAATTTTTATAGAAAGTACAACATAATATTAATACAACTGAACCAGATTTAGCAAATCAAAATGATCAAATCCTTTCGAGTGATTCTACGAACTGATATATTCAACTAAAAAAAACCTTTTCTCCCTCTCGTATAATATAATTCCCACCGGAATAATAATCTTGATCCAAAACATCAGCAATTTTTGATATTCGATCTTCCGATAAATTTTCAAATAACGATACCTGCAATAATGAATTGGTAATTCTGAATTACAGTTCTATTACCAGGAAGGCTGGATTATTT